GGATTTGGGATTTGGGATTGGGATTTGGGATTTGGGATTTTGGCATTTGAATTTTGAATTTGGGTGGCAGGTATAATCCATCAGACGTAAACATGATGAAATGCCAATCTTCTCCAGTAGAAATGATGCCATAAAGATAGTCATATTCATTATTATTAAATGCTTGATCGGCAGTTCATTTTTTGTTTGTATGGAAGGAGCTCTTGAGCTGTTTTATATTCTGAAAATAAAACAGCTCTTGAGCTGTTTTATATTCTGAAAATAAAACAGTGTTAGCAAAGCTGGTGAGATTAATAATTGCATTTATTTCCACAAAGCAGACATACTTGGAGATATCCTATTTTTATATTTCGTAGTTTTCCTTCGGTAATGCAAAGGAGATCTTCCATTCCACTTATTGCATAATCTACTCGTCCAGAGGCCTCTTCTCCGGAAATATCTCTTTAGTATTCGATATCTATTTCTTTATTGGTTTGTCTTCTAACAATTGCAATTGATACGTGTAATATAGATTCGATAAAAGTACACCGAGTTGTTTCATTGGCATCGGTCATTGATTTTATTTGTGCGAGATATAATGTAATTTCTGCAATACATTGTTTAAGGGCTTTGTTGTCATCATCTATTTTTTCGAAAACTTTGAGAAGAAATATTTGTTATATACAGTAGTTATAGATAAAAATCGTAAAGATGCAACCACTTCTAGGAAAAACCTACTTGAATTGAATTGTTTTATACTCATAATATTATCACCATTAATTTTATATTCACGAAGTAACTCTTTTAACTGCTCTACAGTTTTATAAGACGAAAAAACATGTAGTTTTTGTTCTTTGATATCCAAAACAAATCTTGCTAATTTAATGGCAGGTCCAAAAGCAAAACCAATTTCACGAAATTTTTCTTCTGTTAACTCCAAAAAGGATAAACCATCTATTTCTTCCTGTCGAAAAATTCCAAAGTGAGTTTCATTAAGCTTTAAATCCTTCCTCCGCAAATAATCTATTAGTTCTAAGGTATCGTAATTTTTTATTACGTCCGCCATGGTACAGGTTATTATTTCCTCACCGGAAGATATGCTAGAGGGTGAAACAGGTTCTGAAGACATAGCTACTTTATAGATATTGGTTTTTTACAGATAAAGAAAATACTGCAGGATGAAAAAAATAGATATATTAATTAACGATTCAGTTTATGTAGGAAATGTATATATATGAAAACTGTTACATGAAACTATCATATGATATGTATCTCCGCTATATAGATTTAGAAAAATCAAAATTCGCTTATCTCTGTATTAGATAAGAGCATGTTGTGTTATGATTTATTTCGTGATTCGTACGTGAATGTTAATTCGCATACATGTGACGTAGAACCCAAGGGAGCAACCCCATGTGATCGCGAAAAAATAATTTCTGCTTGTTATATGATATTTGATCTTATGCCTTTATAGATACGATTTGGATTGAATTCTGATATTTATTTGTATAACAATAAAGTCGATAAGTTTCTTCACCAGCGTAAAATAGTTTCCATAAAGAACTAGATAAGTGATCTGGCCGGTTCTTCTTAATTTATATGAAATTTATCCATTCTTAAATAAATCATAAATTAAGTATATTTCTGGTACGTTTCCTCAGTATTTATCCCATAAAAGATGCTTTCAACCCATTCCAATCAATGTAGGTGTATATTTTTTACAATTACAAAAATACTGCACATGCACATCGCATACAGACACGTTAAATGTTAAATAAGATAATATTTCATTATTGTATTCTCAATAAATAAATTTAAACTTGGTACAGAAAGCCAATATTATGACAAAATTAAGTTTTTGATATTTTGGTTAAAAGAATGTGCTCAATGGCTTTCATGGCATTATCATAATCATTGGGCTTACTGGTATAGTCAACGGTACAGTTAGTGGTAGAGTTAGTGGTACCGGTAGTAGGAGAGTTCGTAGTAGGAGTAACAGATTCAGTGACAGTTTTAGTGACAGTTTCAGTAATGGTAGGAGCAAGAGCAGAGGATTTATTATAATTTGCAATACCAATGCCTAAACCTGCAATAGCAACTGTGGTAGCTAGGAACGGAACAGCTTCTTTGACTATTGTCTAAATAATAAGAATGCAGTGAATGATGACTCATTTGTAAAAGAAAGTGATTATAAATACGTAGAATGTAAGTCATACAAATTTATTTCTTTTATTATTACTCATTATTTTATGCTCAGTTATTTTGGACTTTTGAGTATGAAATGATCAAGACAACCATTTTATATTCCTGCAAAAAAAAGATGAGAAGTCGCACAGTTTAAATCATTGATCATGAGACAAGTCGTGTGACATACATTTGTCAACATTTAAAGATAATGGAAATTCTTTTTTGTAATAAGGATAAGGATTCCCAGATTTTCCAATATGATAGATTAGGAAAAAAGATAGCGTATGCACAAGAACAAAGAATATGTATATATCTCGAGTCGATTAATCAGACCAGGTTATCGATATTCTTATTTGTAAAAAGTACAACATAGTGCTTTAGTTCTGCGATAAATATGTGTCTTTGACACTAGCTCTGTTATATACGGTTGACAATAATAAATTTTTCAGAAAAAATATGTGCTGATTAGATGATCCGATTTTTGTAAGTTTTTACCTTTCGGAGAAAAGATGTATATGTAATCTGACTTTTCTGGCTTCGAGTAAGCTTGATCACGAGAAGGTGGGATCATCACTTAACTCTAGTAAAGTTTTTTTTGTCAATTGTCACGGTTTTGTGAATCCAATCGTTGGCTGAGATTTATGCATGTGACATGTTTGTTACAAAAGCAGATTTTATTTTTTAATTATATGATAATCTATGCCTTCGTTGTTATCCTGTCTGGAGAGAAAATTCGTATAAATTGTGTGTGGATTCCTTTCCATTCTTTCATAAGCTCATCAAGCCATATACACCAACCTGCCAAAAGTATCCGGGTAACAATTTTTTTGTCAAATTTTTAAAAAATTTTAAGGATGAATTAT